GCTGGGGCTGCACTGGGCTCACCTTCCCCATGGTGGTGGATGCAGGTCAGGGACGGGCCGCAGCGCACGGCTATATAGCAGGAGGCCTGCTGCGTTGGCAGGAACCACACAAAAGGGGCCCGCGGGGCGAGGAGGGGATTTTCATGTGCTCTTTTTTTCTCTTTGCTGTCATAGTCCATGGGGCTCATTGTGGGTTTTGGTCCCATTCTCTCTGGAGTATTCGGGTTGCTATCACTGGCTGATGCTATTGAGACCGTTTGGAAAAAAAAGTAATTTGGAACATTGTTGATTTAATAATAGAAATAGAGCTTCAGCCATTTCAGATATAGTCTACACTTTTATTTGCATAGGCTGGGGAAAAACAAAAAAAGTGTAAGTGAGGGAGCCAGATTTATTCCTTCCTCTCCCCACACCATTTTAGCTGGAGCACCTCCTCGTGTTCAATATTGAATACTAATTGCATACTAATTGTTAATAGGAAGAAAATGACCTTAACAGAATGTTGATAATTTCAACTTTGTCCTTTAAGAGAATTTTCTTATTAAAGGGTGTAAGAAATGGGAATATTTTACCAAGGGAATTCATAAAACTTCAAACTTGCAGTATGGTAAAAACCAAAGCCAAAACCAAACCAAACCAAATCAAAACAAAACAAAAATCCTAGCAAGCACAGATATTCAGTATTTGGTCTGAATTTGCTACAGTCATGTCTGGAAGTAGACTGATGATTAGATGTTTTATCTTGGCTAATTGTAATTCAATAGGGAGAATAGTTTTAAGAGGTTTCATCTCGGAAAGAACTAAAAGGGAAATTTCTCACTTGTAGGAAATAAGAAAAAGTTAAAACACAAAAATCTATCACCTCTCAGGTTATTATAAAATAAAACCAAATTCCTAAGAAATGCATTTCTAGTAGGAATCTACATATACCTTTTCTTCTGGGGAACAAGAGTACACAGAGTTCTGGACTCAAAGGATATTCATTGCATGAACATGAGGAAGAGCTACAGCTAAAATGGTGTGGGGAGAGGAAGGAATAAATCTGGAAGCTGAGACTCTAGGAAGGCTTTAGAAAGTATTTATTAGCCTGGAAGAGAATAGTTTCATGGGCTGGAAAGAGCATTGGAGTGGAAGATGACCTATGCCTTGAGCCTCTTTCATGTTCAAAGAATTGTTCACAGTCCTGTGTTGTCTCATGGAAATACTTTGTCTTGACTTTGGTTCATACATCTTTGTAAGTTGGTATTCATGAATAAAACACCAGCTGTGTACAAGAGGATGATTTCAGTTCTTATTACCCACTATATATAGGCTTGTGTTTGCAAAATTACTTCTGTTTATAGAAAGTACGCAGCTCAAATCAAAAGAATTTTTAAAAAATCATCATTTCAATTAAAAATTTAAAGAATAATAATTAACAAAATAAAAACTTTAATACTGTCATTTCGCTCAGAGTTGTTTCTGTGGGGAGAGGATTGATAGATAAAAACAGTAAAATATGAGAAAGAACCAAATGGGGAGCCCCAGAGAACACCCCGGGGGAGCCTGCTGGAGATGGCTGTGAGGACCACCACCATCACAGGTGACATGCAACGACAAATTTGGGATACATCTGGAGGGCTAAAACAGGAAGACTCTGGGTTTGGTTTTCTCAGTGACTAGGAAGAGAAAAGGCTTTATTTCAGCCTGGGGAAAGAAACAGGGAAAAAGAAAAAACAAAAAAACAACAACAAAAAACAACTCACAGTTTTCATAGAGCTGAAAAGTGAATGGCTTGCGCCAAAATGTGCTTGACTTAAATGCATTACAGAAAATTCTAGGATTGACAAATGTGTGTCCGACTGAAGCTCCAAGTTGCACTCAGTGTGCTAAATGAACCTAAGTAAAAGACTGAGAATCCTCATGCCTATAGCCCTGAAGCAGAGTTCTATACGCATTGCCTGGAATGACTGATGGGGACCGTCTTTGGAGGAAGAATAAGAGATAAGGGTCAGGGACTCTCAATCCTGAGTTCTAGTCCAGCAGGTAACCTATTGTCACTCCTAAATATTCAGGTGGTTTCAAACAAGAGCGGAGGCAAAATACATGAGTTAAGGTTAGAGTTCTGCTACATGCAGGGTCAAAGATTTCTGTTACTGCTGTGTCACCTACAAAATGAAGCATATAAGAAATGCTCCTTTCTGGGGTGCCTGGGTGGCTCAGTGGTTGAGCGTCTGCCTTCGGCTCAGGTCGTGATCCCTGGGTCCTGGGATCGAGTCCTGCATCGGACTCGATGAGCCTGCTCCTCCCTCTGCCTATGTTTCTGCCTATCTCTCTGTGTCTTTCAGGAGTGAATAAATAAAATCTTTTTTTTTTTTAAAAGAAACACCACTTTCCTTATTCTTTAGAGCTCAAAATATTATGAATCTAAATCTCATTCCCCTGGGATGGAGAGAAAATTTCACTGTGGTTCATTCCTGGGGTTTTGTCTGCTCACATTCCCAGGCTCTAAGGATGGGTTCTGTAGGCTTAACATGAGACCAAGGCATTTCATGTGGAGAGAGGGTGCCCTGGGAACTCTCATGCAGTCCTTTGGTGGTGGCCCTCCCCAGCTTTCACACCAGTATGGAAATGACAACTGGCAGCCCTGAAGGCTGTGGAATTAGGATGTGTTTTATTTGGCTGGCACAATGTTTGGATTTTTTCATGATGCTTTGGGTTGGTCTGCACTTTTCATAGCTCACCATACTCTTCATCACTCCTTGTTGTCTTAAAGGAAGTTGTTTTGCTCATTTGCATCATCTCTCTAGCCCCTGAAGGCATTGGGCCTTAACCTCAAACAATAGTCTTCAAACTCTGCTCAGTTTTTGCCAGATGAAAGCACTACACATCAGAGCAAATTCCCGAGCATTCTTCCTTGGTCTGAGCCATACTTTATTAGGAACTTGTGTTTTTTTGGGGTGTTAAAAATGTCATTTTGTAAATGTCTCTTCCTGTATAAAATGATGTACAAATGGATGGTGCTTAGTTTTACAATTTCATTGTTTTGTTTTTAATTTTCAAGGTCCTTGCTTGGCAAAATAAAAATAGGCAATCCTATGTTGGTCTCTATTTAAAGAAAACTGGTCTAGGAAATCTAAAATTTTGAGAACCATTTTATTTGGTAGTATGGTTTAAACCATTTGATATCATAAGAAGTATGTAAATAAATATTGTTTACATATATAACAAGTTTACACTTGTTTCCCCTAGAAATTTGTCTTGGAATGACTTTAAAGTACTAAATAAAAGTATTTGATAAAAGTGATTATGTATGTATTATTTAGCACTTGAGAAGTACTTGACTTTAAAAAGTGGTTGCATACTTACTGTCTACTGTAAGCATTTCATATTATTTCTGTGTAGAACTCTGTGGTGGTAGGGACAATGTCTTTTATTTGTTTTTGTTTGTTTTTTTTATCCCAGTGCTACATATTGCAGGCCTATGGTAGGTGCTTAGTAAGTGGTAAAGACACTAACTCAAGTTAGGATCTTTGGTAGCTAACAATTTGGGCAGAGTCTATTACAATGGAAAATATCTTGTGCTATCATTGGGCAGTCTCACTTCTAGGTCTCTATCCTCTAAAAGTTATGGTATGTGTAGATAAAGGTAGACATACAAGGATATTCTTTGCAGGCTTGTTTGTAAAAGGAACATTGGACAAGCCCAATCACCAATGGATAAAAGGTAAAGTAATCTAGGGTGCTTTCAAATAATGGAACACGGTGATCCCTGGGTGGCTCAGCAGTTTAAGTGCCTGCCTTCCACCTGGGGTGTGATCCTGGAGACCTGGGATCGAGTCCCACGTTGGACTCCTGGCATGGAGCCTGCTTCTCGCTTGGAGCCTGCTTCTCTCTCTGCCTCTCTCTCTGTGTGTGTCTCTCATGAAAACACAAATAAAATCTTTAAAAAAAAATAATGGAACACAATGCAGTCATGAAACAGAATAAGGTATACTGATCGAGATCTATGTCTGTATCATTTTGCGTGTTAAAAACAAGTTGCAGCTAATATGAACGGCATGATTCCATATTTGCAAATAAGTAAATAAATAATTTAAAAAAGCATGTTTCATGAGATGTCAATATAAAGAACAAAACATTCTAGAAGGATGCCCACCAAGTGTAAAGAAGAGCTAGCAACGAGGAGTAGAATCAGAAGGACCCTCTCTACTTCTTTCTTTACAGAATTTGTGAAGTAGTAGGATTATAGGAGGCTTTTACTTTGAAGGAAAAAATTAAAAAACAAATTAATTCTCTAGTGACGAAAAGATTTTTAATTTTTTTTAACTTATAGGGCTTTGCTTATGAGCAAGCAGATTTTACTTCAATCGAAGTCTATTTAAAACACTAACATCTATCTCATTAATTTATTTGCACTAGCTGCACTTCAGGTAGAGTTTGACCCTGGGAATATACTGGCCAAGAGGTGCAACCAAGTCAGGAGGCATTCTGGGAGAGGAGGGGAGAATCTTCAACTGGTTCAATGGTGACCTGGGGATTAGGTATGTAATACTGTGTTCAAAAGTAAACAGTACTACAATTCCTCATGTAGTCTAATCAGGCTTTTTGCCAAGTGGGCTTCTCTTCACTGCCCACCTATGACCCTCTATGGCTTCCAGTCACCTGCTGGGTCAGAAGGAAGCTCCTGGAATGCTGTTCCTCAGGGCCCTCAACCCAATGCCTCCCTCCTCACCAGTCACCCTCTCCCATTTTTCTATGTTGACCTCCCTTTCTTTCTTAGACAGGCCACCTCCTCTTTCCACCCCTACTTCTGAGCCTGTTTCAGACTCATTTCACTTTGCAGAGCTTCTAGAACGGACCCCTCCCCGCTTACTTGCTCCTCAACCTTTACCGGGGAGCATTTACAGGTGAATTCCTTGGCACACGGTGAAAGAAAAACAGAAGTCAGCAATTGCCAACAATACAGACTAAATACTTTATTAGGTTCCAAACTGAGAAAATGGTAGTGTGAACCTATTTTAGTATAAATCCACCACCCTCCGCAAAGAGCCTGCCTTAGCATCCATGGCTCCCCAGTCGTGGTAGCGCCTGTACTCTTGGGGCCTCAGCAGGTATTGCCGCCCCAGGTAGTTGGGCATCTCGTAGAGGACCCAGCAGCCCTCCAGCACGTGCATGGAGCGGACCTCACTCAGGTGGAAGCGGTCCTGGATGCAGGAGCAGTCCTCGCTCAGCTCAACCATGAGGCCTTTGTGATCCTCTCTCTCGTACAGCCGCAGCCTGTGGGAGCTTGTCTGCTCGGTCCACAAAGAGAAGGAGCGGAAGAAGCAACCAAACAACAAATGAACTTGGTAGGTTAAGGCACGGGATGGCCAATATAGAAACCCAGACTCTGAGATGGCTGTGTGTGCCGTGTATGGATCTGTGTTCTACTGGTGTTTAATAAATGTTTGCATTCTCATTTTTTAAATTTCGTATCTAGGAAAGGTAAATTTTTGGAGGTTCAGAGTCTGGGTTAGAGTCTATCAAAAATTCAATAATCTTGACTCCCAATTCTCTAATTTCTATTGATTTCTAGGTGATAAGTCAAATATATATTCTGAGGGGGAAATGGAAAGCATTTTGACTAACATTCTTTTAATAGGGTTATTATTATTATTTTTTGGAATAATATGAGTGTTATCTCCCAAATTTACATACATACGAGTTTACAACCAAAGTTGGACTTTCAAAATCACATGCTTCAGTGAAAATTAGTTTAAATAGTCCCCTAAAACCAGTATTCAACTACTTTTCCAAATTAAGGGCAATGAATTACCTTTTCCAAAGTTGGACACAAACTTTGATTAGCTTCTGCTAACAATAGAGTCACAGTTTTTACTAGCCTGTACTGGAACCTAAATCATTCCCCATCCATTCTTTACTGTTCATTAAAATGACAATCTTACGGTTTCAAATTTTTAAAAGCAACCCGTTTGAAGTACAGCCCTCCTAGGTCCAAAGAGCATCCCATTCGCAAGTTTGGTTCTATATCCCACTGTGACAGTACAATTGTTACGAACACCTTTGCAAGGGACATAATGGTAGCAAAAGTGAGGCTGATTCTTCCCATAAGGGAATTCTTCATGAATTCTCGGCTGGCTTTGTGCATTTGTCTCTCTGGGCTTAGGCAGTAGCCAAAGCCCACTCTACCCTGAATGGCTTTTAAAGGAGAAACGTCCCTCCCTGGTCAACCATGCAGGGAGGACAGCAGGCAGCCTGGTGGAAACCAGGTTGACCTCACCTGGGGGATGAGACAGCAGGAGCGGATGGAGTCGCTGAAGCCCAGCCACTGCTGGTAGTCGGGGTAGTCCCCGCGCCGCAGGAAGTACTGGTGGCCCTGGTAGTTGGGGCGCTCGTAGAGCATCCAGCAGCCGCTGTCCACGCGGATGGAGTTGCAGCGGCTGAGGTAGGGCTGCAAGTTGGGGCAGTCGCTGCTGCACTCGTAGTGCCGGCCCTGGAAGCCGCGGTCCTCGTAGAAGGTGATCTGCAAAGGAAGAATGATTCCGAATTAAATCAGTGGCTCCCCACAGATCTCATATAGAGGCATTTTTTTTTCTTTTCATTTAACTTGTATCCCACTCACCTTCCCCATGGCTGGTTGACACGGATGTGCGAGTTCAGTGCGACCGGCCGGTAGCGCTGCGGGTCTATATAGCAGGGCTGCTGCTGCGTTGGCAAGAACAACACAAAAGGGGCCCCAGGGGGTGAGTAAGGGGATTTTATGGATCCCTTTTACGTGCTGCACTCAGTGGAAATGCCTGTAGAGTTTGCCCTCATTCTCTGGTATATTCTAACGCTGTTCTGTATGTGTCCTAGTTGAGTCCCTAGAGTTGCTTTTATTTGGATTCTTAGTGTTTTCTAAATTTATCAGCACATCAATCTGAACTTTTGACCCGGAATTCATGTCTCTACAGATATGACCCCATGATGCCCTATGTATTTTTGGGGGGGAAATCTATGCCTTTATAGAAGTGTTCCATGATTCCAGAGGCTGTCTGCGATATAGAATGCCACAAACACTTGACTCACTGTCCCTGATGGCAGAGGTCATTGTAACTTAAAACTGTTTTTCTTTATGCGATTTATCAGCCCAGTGCAGGCCACAGGTCTGGATTCCCACACTTGCCAGTTTTGACTGTGGTGATCTGATGCTTTAAGACATAGCTACTAAGTCCTCCTTTGGTGGGTGTACTTCATGTACTAGAAACCGGCCCCTGGAAGTCAATTTGTGATAAGAACCAAGGGGGAGGTTTCTATAGTCATTGGGTCCAACACTGAGAAGTATATTGCTTTTTGGAGTACTTCCTCTTTCCAGAGTGGGGGGCAGGCAGTAAAGCTTTTTAAACTCAGTATGTCCCCTTAGTAGCCACGTGAACTTGGCAAACCACATAGCCTCTCAGAGCCAGAGTTATTTCAGAGTACTTACCTTATGGGATATAGTAAGTCGAAAAAGAAGGAAGGACAAAAAGGAGAGGTACTCGCATTTAGAAGCTGGCCTGGCATTCAGAGCTAAGCCATGTTATTCCTCTGTTAGACATAAACAATCCCACGGAATACCAACAGGGTTACTCTGAGACTATGATGCAATGAGACAAAACAAGGCAACTTCATAATTTTGTCTAAGCACAAGCAAAAACAAAGTCACTGTACCCCCCACACAATACCAAACACTCCATCTCTCAGCCCACATGATTAACTCCTTCTTTAACAATTGCAGCTTTATCCTTCTAGGCTCTCCTCCGCATGAGTACATTTATTGAGATACACAGTCATAAAATTTTCCTCATGTTCTGACAACATCCAACCTAGAGGGAACTCCTGCCTTTTTAGACTCTTCCCCAAATCCACTCAACCAAAGTACAAATCCTATGATGATATCCTTTGCTGACACCCTTTGCTAAGACACCCCCCATTTCCCCATGGTGTGTGTTCTCTCTTGTTCTAACAGCTAATAAACCCAACTTGCTTTGTGACTGGTGTTCTGCTAGTCTTTGACAATGGGTTTATGTGTACAATGGCACATACCAGGTGAGCATTAAGTAAATGTTTCATGTTAGTAACAGTACAACATTACTAAGGATGACTTCAGCCTGTTTGTCTCTCAAACATAGTCGATCCTCTCAGGTGCATGAAAGATTTGAAGCCATTCAATGAAGCCATTTTGCAGTTAAAAAAAAAAAAGTAGACATGGAGGGTACTTTGGAAATCATCTCATGGCTTTCAAACTCTAGTGTGTCTAAAGAATCACCTGTGCTTGTTAAAATTGCTAGGTCATACCCTCTCCCAAGGATTGGCATCATTAGATGTGGAAAAGACTCCGGGAATCTGTATTTCTAACTAGCACTAGATCGTTCTTGGATCAGATTTTTAAAAACGCTAGTCTGGTTTACTCTTTTTTTTTCTTCTGGTAAGGAAAACACATTTTAGCCATCACCAGCTAAGGTTTACTTAGCACTTATATGTCATTTTCCTTAAACATATAGACAGAAGAACGCTCTGCTTTGCTCTACAAAGTTTTATATGCACATAATGAGAGAATTAAAGCAGAAATTCCAGCACTTAAGTGATAGTGCTGATTAGACAGGAAAAGAGGTGAAGGGGTCAGAAAATGCAGAGTACTAAACTTTAGTCTTGTTTTTTTCCAGATCTTTCTCTCTCTCTCCCGGGGATCCTGGCTTCATTCCTTTAGCGACCTCTCTAATCTCCCCTGCCTGTCACCCTGCCCTGTAGCTGCCTTTCTTGCATTCTCATCATCTTCAGCTGGACTGTCCACAGTCTCCTGACTCTCTCCAGCCTTGCCCTCTTCTACACTGCATTCTGTCAACATGCCAGGGTGATCAGAATCAAAACGCATCAAGTCATGTCACAGCACTGAACTGAATGTTTGCGTCCCCAAATTCATATGTTTAAACCCTAATCCCCACTGTGATGTCTGAAGATGGGGCCTTGAGAGGTAACTGGGTCATAAGGGTGGAGACATCATGACAGGATGAGTGTCCTTAGGCACTTCCTCCCTCGGGGTAAGGGCATAATGAGAAGACAGTCTGCAAACAAGGAACCTGGCTCACCAGACACTGGATCTACTGGCACCCTCATCTTTGACTTCCCAGCCTCCAGAACTGAGAACTGTGAGAAAGAAATGTTTGTTTAAGTCATCCAGTCCACGGTATTTTTGTTCTAGCAGCCTGAGCTAAGGCAGCTACTCACCTGCTTGAAACCCTTCCCTGACTCCCATTGCCTCCAGAATCAAGTACTGGCTCCTTAGCCTGTCACACCTGGCCTGAGATACTCTGTCTCCAGACTTCCCAACAGATCACACTGAATCACTTGTAGTTTCCCAAAAACACAATGTTATTTCACATTTCTCATTTGCCTCCCCCCAGTTTTACTGAGATACCATTGAAATATTGCATCATGTAACATGTATGCAACATATAGATTTGATGCAGTTATATATTGTGAGATGATTACCCCCTTAGTGTTAGGTGCATCACCTCACATAATTAATATTTTGTGTGTGTGGAAACATTTAAAACCTACTCTTTTAGCAACTTTCAAGTCTATAATACAGTATTGTTAACTATAATCACTACGCTGTACATTAGATGCCCAGAACTTATTCATCTTATAGCTGGAGGTTTATGCTATACTTCTCTTGTTGTTTAATGTTCTAATTCTTCTCACTGAGATGCCAGTTCTACACTTTTCACCCAGGGAGATTTTAGAAGGTTTATTTCAGATATCAATTCCTCTGTAAAAATTTTCTTGAAACTTTCTCTAATCTTCCAGGCTGGATTTAATACTGCCAGCTTGGTTCTATCAGGCATCTTGCTCATACCACTATAATGGTAATTATCACTTATCTAATTATTTTGTTTAGATATCAGCTTCTTGAAATGAATGAGGGGAGCCCCATCCTGGGCAGGGACTATGTTTTGTAATCCTACTAAATGCCTGGCACATGAAGGCTACTCAATCAATGCCTGGAGGATATGAATGTTATTCCCTAGTCTGAAATCCATTGTTGTGATAGTCCATGGGACCTATTTTGAATGCTCAGCACCACAGGCATACACACTCACATCAAAGTTCAGTATTTGCAACTTTCAATGTGTAGGATGACACAAGCACTCTGCATTTGATCTATTTAATAGGCCTTTATAACAGGGGAGATGAGTAAGCAAATGAGAGAAAACAGGAATGTTGTGTTGTCCCCAAAGCCTTCTGTTCCTTGGTAATTCTGTCTACTTTTTGTGTTTCCTGAGATGACAAATTAATACTACAACAGCAGTGGCCAATTCCAGAGTATCGCTAGTGTCTGAGGTCCAGCCAGCAGTTGACCTTAATGCCCACCTTCCTGCTTCCTAGTAACAAATGTATAACATTTGTATCATACACTTGCTTGGTTAAATGAGAAGAGGTCATGTGGTTGGGAGCTACACAGACCAAAGTATCTCAAAGTATCTCAAACAGGGAGATTGGGTAAGACACCAAGGATCAGCATCATGGCATCAGCCTCTGGTTCTCTTTCTCAGCTTGTCTTTGATGACTGTTCAATAGCTGACAAGAAGATGGGCAACCAATGACCCACCTCTTCTTAACTCCTATGATGTCCCATTTGGATTAAATTGGCTTTTGTGTGAAAAGTAGTACATTTCTTCTTGTTTAAGCAATAGGTGGTTATGATTGTCATTTTTGCTTTGACAAACCCACAAGAAAATTTGATCCCCTGAAGTTTCAGGGGAGGAAATAAGACAGTAGCAACATTAGGACCTAACCCCATGGCAGCAAGGCAGGATAACTAGAGAGGGAAGCCATAACAAGGAGCACCCTATGAGAGTGTAACTCAATATAGCACTTCTTGGCACTTTTTTATGGAATGACTTCACTTTCTTTGCTTGGTGGGTCTTCTATAAGGTTAGATTGGCCAGAAGACACTATAGGTTCAAAGGGAGAAAAGAGAAAAAAGAAGAAAAAAACTTAGAATCTGGTGCTGACTTTGGTAGCATGCATACTAAAATTAGAGTGATATAGAGAAGATTAACATGGTCCCTGCAAAAGGATTCCATGCAAATCCTTAAAGCGTTCCATATTTTTAAAAAAAGATTTAAAATCTGGACTTATTATAAACTGGGATATACAGGAAATACTGGTGCGTATAGGTATACAGGCTGACCCTGGGGTTAGCTTGAATTGTTTCTTCATCTTCAAGGGGGAAAGGTTAGTGGGATTGTGTAGGGTATCCCTTCTCCCCTTCCTCTCTGGAGGCTGCTTTCATCTCAGACCTTTTCAGGTCTTTGAGATTACATTGCACTTTTGAGAGAGGAGGGAAAGAAGGAGGAAGCATAGATGAGGACTTAGTTTGGTCGTAATCCCTTTGCCTTGCTTCCCCAGCACCATTACTTGTACTCTCTGTTGATTGTTTTTAATGGTGGAATTAGAGGAACTATACTGTTCTCTTTGCCTGTCCCCCAGGGATGGAAATAGAGTTTTCAAGAAGAGAAACTTGATCAGTGACATCCAGGGTCTCTAATTTTATGTGTTTTTGGTTCAAGTGTTTCAGGATCATTTCCATGCCTGAAGTCTGTGATTTTATGCCCAACAATGTAAAATCCAGCACTCCAAGAAGCTTTTAGCTTTCCAATTTATGTGTGATATGTTATTACTAGCAAACAGAACTCTGGCTGATGTCTCCAGGAAGCCAACGCTAGTGTTGGGAGTTTAAAGGTTGAAGAACTGGGATTTAGGAATAATTAATATCAGATAATTCAAGAATCTGACATTTTCTAGGGAAAGAACTTTTATAAATAGCCTAACCAAGGGCCCCAGTTTGCCTTGGACTGTCCTGGTTCATGCCTCTTGCCCGGATGTGATCCTTAATGGCACACACTTTCGCTCTCAAAAATGACTCAGGTTAAGCAACAAATTAGATGCTTGTTCTGTTCACAAGCCACTTGAATGGTAGATATGGAGCCCTGGAAAGCATGGGCTGGAAGGAGACTATAAAAATGAAGAGCCATTAGCCATTTTTACAGCTAAGAGTGGAGGAGAGAGGAGCAAGAATGGGAAATAAGACCACACCACCCAGCAGCTGGTTGGAGCTTACAGACTGTTTAGAACAGGGCTACTAATATTAAATTTGATTTTATTGTCCTCTGTGATCTAAACTCCTCCCACAACCTCTATAATGAGGCTGGCTGCACAGACAAATGCTTTATGTGAGAGATGGTTTAGGAGCTCCAGGAAAAGGAGCTATGTCTCCCACCTAAATCCGTGAGATGCATGGGGTGGGTCATATGGGGGAGGACTAGATGATCCATCCAATAACAAGTTGAGAGGGGAGGGTGACTGGGGAAAGCGTAAATAACTCATTCCCTTTCCAGAATTCCATGAGATTTTTGAGTACATATGTGTCAGGAAAAAGTGGGTACACAAATCTCCCACTCCACATGAGATGACATTTCAGCCATTTCATTAGAAATCTCAAAGAATGGGATGCTTTAGATGGATTTTGACCTGAAACCATCAGCTTCATTGTAGAGCTTTATAAGAGACAGACCCAAAGACCATATTTAATTACTGCGGGATGCTACTAAGGATGTTGTTTGCTCTGTACCCTCTTTACTAGGACCCACATGAAAACTTTCTTTTAGGTTTTAGTGCTGGGAATGGTTAGACTAGTCTTGAATAACTAATTTATTTGTCTCATGGACTCTATTAGTCATGGAACTGATCTTGTTTCCCCCCTCTGTCTTGGCTGCTGGATTCGAACCTGGCTTTATCTATAGCCAACAAAGGGCATTAGAATATGAGACTCCTTGGGCTCAAATTTCACTCCTGGAAAATAAACATCCCCAAAGGAAACACACATGCAGTCCTGGAAAATAAACATCCCCCAAGGAAACACAATACAGTCAAACCAGCTTCTTCAGAAAATGTCAATTCCTTATTTTCCATTTAGTATTACTTTCCAGGTATGGTCATAATTCTTTACTTCCTACTAAAGTGATAGGAGGTTGAGTGTCCCTATGTGCATGTGGTTTTGGTAGAAATCCTGAAATTCTTCTATAAAGCACATACCACAGAGACAGTGAATTCTATTTGGACTGCAAATCTGGAGGAATGAGGTATTGACATGGAATTGGCTGCTGTTAGAAGGATAAGGCATGCAAGAGGTGAGGGTGACTAATTTGCTTTTGAAGCTAAGGGAAGGGTTTAGATGCTGAGAAAGTGTTTAGATGCTGAGATGACTTTTCTTATTTATTAATACTTGGACTACATGGAAAAGATAGTGGAGATAGCCTAGGATAACTTTAGGTGTTACAGTAAATACCCACTTATCATTGTAGCTGCAAAATTATCCTTTTAAGACTAACCATAAATGTTGTTAGCCCAATTAAATTGAACCTTGAGCCTACATGGTTTAGGCTTTAAAAGAATGCTGGCAATGATATCCTCTATTTTATCCCCCTTAGAAGACAGTATCTCCCATCATAAAAACTCTGTTAATATGTTTGGCTAAGTGCCATTATTGCTTATGAAGTTTTAAGAGACAAAAAGAAAAGCAGGACTCCATAGTGCCAGAAACACAAGCTAAATATTTTATTGGATTCTAAAGGACAAAAGTGGAGAACATAAATACTTTAGTAAAAATCCATCACTCGTCTCAAAGAACCAACTTTGGCATTCATGGCACCCCAGTCAAGGTATCTCCTGTACTCCCCGGGCCTCAGGAGGTATTGCCTTCCCCTGTAACTGGGCATCTCATAGAGGACCCAGCAGCCATCCAGCACATTGAGGGAGTGGATTTCATTGAGATGGAAGCGGTCTTGAAGAGAGAGACAATCATCTGTGATCTCTGACATTTGTCCTCTGAAGTCATCTCGCTCATAGATCCTCATTCTGAAAGTGCCTGAGTGCTGGAGAGGCAGAGAGAAAAGCAAAGGTATGTGAACACAAATGGAGAGAACTTAGGGCTCTAGCTCCTACACCAACCAGGCCCCACCAGCCCAGAAGTTCTTGGAGTCTAGGTTTGCTTCCAAAACAATCCTGTTGTAGTGTTAAAGAGCCTCCCCGCCCCCCCCCCCATCACCCACCAGGCATCTAATGACTTATGGGTAATGCTAGGGACAGACTCAGCATCCCTTCAGTGTCATCCACCCAGTCTCTGTCCTTGGCAGCCAAAGGTGTGTCTCAAATAAAATTGATCATGTTAAGGCTTGTTATCAGAGAAGGTCCTTCTCCAAAGAGAAAAGGATAAGTCATTGGAAAGCAAAGTCCCATTTGATCGAGTACTCTGGTTAGAAAGGAATCAATATTTAGCTATTTTCTGTAAGGCCAATGTTTTGGTTTTGTGTACACCGTGGAACATGAGATTATCAAGCTCTTGTGAAAAAGAAGATGACACATTTTCTTTGTCTCTCTTTTTATCACTCAGCTTACTTCAGATTTCAACTTATCTGACCCTTAAGCTTTCTTTCTGGTCTCTTCTCTAGCTGTCTTCGTTTCCCTCAGCACCAAAAATCATGTCCATTAAGCTCTGTTTGGATGACACTATACCCCATGTCTCCCACACTTCAGCACATTCTTCTAAGAACTGTGCAATTACTCTCTAGGAAAAACTGAATCTCAAACTTTTGCTTCGGAGTTGGCCTTTTCTCTCATTTATACCTCTAAGGGAGTGAATAGATACTGACCATGAAATTAGAACCAAAACCAGCAGACAGGGGCCTATCTTCTCCAGGAAGATAATTAAATACAAAAATGAGCCAAAGCAAGCAAGCATATTTTTACCAATTAAGCAGACCCAGATTATAACTATACGTTTTGATATATTATTTCTGAATCCCTGCTGCTTGGAATGACAACTTTAGGAAGTTACAACTTAAACACACGGCAACTTCTGTTTTCCCTAGGTCCTGCTTTTTCTCAATCAGTCTTTGGCTTTCTAATGTATTCAATTATATTTAAAATTAAAAAAATCTGAGATCATGTGAGTAAAAAAAAGCAAGCACCACAGAGTTCATGGAGAATGGCTTCCCACCAGGGACATCCTTCTAGAATGGACCGCAGAATGTCCCCCATTGGGGACATCCTTCTAGAATGGCTCACTCTCATCCTCTGCTCTCTGGTTGGAATGATTTGGTTGAAGAAGGGTATCTGCTAATGGCTTTCGTGTCCAAAGAGCCCCAGAGAGCAGGACAGAGCCACGCTCACCTGGGGGATGAGGCGGCAGGAGCGGATGGAGTCGCTGAAGCCCAGCCACTGCTGGTAGTCGGGGTAGTCCCCGCGCCGCAGGAAGTACTGGTGGCCCTGGTAGTTGGGGCGCTCGTAGAGCATCCAGCAGCCGCTGTCCACGCGGATGGAGTTGCAGCGGCTGAAGTAGGGCTGCAGGTTGGGGCAGTCGCTGCTGCACTCGTAGCAGCGGCCCTGGAAGCCGCGGTCCTCGTAGAAGGTGATCTGCGGGATGGAGGATGTGGGAGCGTGAGGCCACCTGCCCCCGCGCCCAGGAGGCTGCGCCAGGGCGAACACCGAGCCTGGATGCCCCGCACTTACCTTTCCCATGGTGGAGCGAGGGAGCAGGAGGTGTCGCTGGGTGCGGTGTGGGACGAGGGGGAGTGCCGCTGTATATATAGCAGCCCTGACTGCTGCCTCCGCAGGAAATCACACAAAAGGGGCCCATTTCGGTGAGTAAGGGGATTTGCAAGCTCCCCGCTCCTCCTCCCCCTGGTCAGTGGGGTTAGCTGAATGGTTTACTCTCATTCTTTCTGGTAGGTTCGGGTTGTTCTGATTCACTAAAGCTGTTGTTGCCACCAAAATGAAAAGAGTCTTTACTCTTTTGGTTGAGCAAAAGGATGAGCGAAATTCTATCCCCCGTGCTTTTATTTTGTCGCCTACTCCGCTTCATTGACTCCTCAAAGGCAATTAAACTAAGTAATGGATTCTGCTGTTTGTTTGTTTGTTTGAACTTTTATTGAAAAGCAGAATTTAAATAATAAAGGATCTTCGGGAAGAGGGAATCAAGTGAAAAAATCTGTGGAAGTGCTTTAAAAAGCGGAAAGCTTCGTTCAAATTCAAGATCCTGTGGTCATCACGGCTGTTGTTTTGGGGTCTCTCTTGAGTAAAATTGATACTTGACTGGAGATTTGTCGGTTCCTGGAGGCTGGGAATTCTCTTTTATTCCTTTCTGCCTCTGGGCCTACAGCAGAGGGTTGGCCCTCAATGCTTGGCTTTGATCAGAAAGAAGGCAGATAGTTAAGGCCTGCCTCCCCTTCCTCACAACTCCCTGAGAGCCTAAGTTCTTCTTTCTGCTGGTGGCTGCCCAGAGTACTGCTTGCCCTTTTTGTTCCTGTCTCTATCCATGTCCTAAGATCTTTCTCTCCTCATCACCATTACAGACTCTTGCTCACTTGATAAGGGTGTGGGTTAGTGTGAAGAGTAATGTAGAAACCCTTGAAATACCAATGGCCTACTTTCTCACACTTTTGAGATGCTGGAGAGCACCCAAACCAGAATGACAGAGCCTCTTGATCATATGAACTTCACTTCACAGGTGTGGTATGTGGACTCTTGAGGTCCCTGAGACACTTTCAAGAGGTTCATCAGGTCAGAACATTTTCATAACAATACCAAGATGTTATTGACCGTTTCACTGTTATTCTTTTACAGGTGTATGGTGGAGGTTTTCTAGAGGCTATATGACACTAATCTGTAAAAATGTAAAACAATTCCGATCTTTTTGTTATTTGTTTTTGATTTGGAAAATATAGTTATTATTCATAAGAATATGTTATTTTTGTTAATGTGTAATAGATTTACCATCTAAGGCCTTGAGTCAGAGGCCTGTACTCTCAGACTTCTCAGTTGTGTAGCCAGCTTCCAATGTTAGACCATCAGGGACCTGGACTGGGTCAGGTAGGGGGGTGAGTGGTGCTTTCAGGATTTGCACCATTGTTCGGTGGAGGAATAAGCAATTGCAAGTGACACTAACTGTGACCACCTACCTTACCTGTCCTATGCCTTGCTTTCACAGTGCTTCCTCTAAAGTTATTTTTCTTCCCAGGACTTATAAACACCATGAAATCGTTGAATAGGCACCATTTGTGGAGAACACATTCAAGGATCAACACCTACACACATACACATGCACTTCTGCAGTTTCCATTACTCTTTGTGTAATCTTGGGAAAATCACCTAACTTCCCTAGGCTTTGGTTTCCCCATTTATAAAATAGGAATGGTGATGAAAATCAAATGCAATAATGAACTCAAAAATACATGATAAACTATAAATACCAGTGGTTAAAATATCATATCATTCATATTTTAATAAATGCTAAGGATGATAATATTAATAGAATTCTTGGTACATCAAACAAAAATAAATATGAATGTGTTTCTGTGTTTCAACATCACAGTGTCTACATTTTTTGCTTATTTTATGGAGACCAAATGTGATCAGTGGATAATATCAGTGGATAAAATGTGAAATGGTTTGGAATTTAGCAACAATCTTGTTTGGTAATTTTGATTTCAACAATCAAATGATGACTACCATTTGAGTGTGATCCTGAATCAAGGTGACAAGGAGAGGAATAACATAGGCAAGGGCAGTAGAGTCAGAGCAGATAGAGTCCTTGAAGTTCACCCACTGCTGGTGGCAGATGCCACAGCCCAGAGCATGCAGCTCTTGTTGTCCACTTGCATGTGCCAAGTTGCCAGAGCTAAAGCAGGACTGCAGGTTGGAGTGGCCACTGCTGCTTGCATAGGAGGTAATCTGCAATGGAACACGTTTACAGTAAGGGAAATCTCCCCAAGATCACATTACCATGAGCTCATTGACAAAATCCTGTTCTACACCCTCCCCCACTGGTGGACTGCAGATGCAGCAGCCAGGGTCATCATCAGCCATAACAGAGGCTCAAGTATATGTGCTTACATGCATATGTGTGCACATTTCTGATCCATCAGGCAATTTAGGCCTGATTTGGCTAACAGTAGAATTTTGCCTTTTTTCTCATTTCTATATCACTAGTGCAGCTTTTTAATGTGTTTGACTTTTATTCTTCATTACATTAAAGCTGTTAAAGTGCTTTGGAGGTCTTTGAAGCTGTGTGGAAGAGGAAAGTTGATATATAAAGGACAAGTCAGAAGAAGTATCCTTGCTCTAATTATTTGACTAAACTTTTTAATCTTTAAGTAGAGAAATAATAATAATAGACCCAATTCACACTAAAAACTATGGGGACATTTGCATTAAATCACAGCAGGCTGGGAGGGCCAACGAGGGAGGATTTGGCCCCATTCTGCCTTCGAAATTTAAGATGTCTGTGAGGATCTGGGCCTAGGGAAGGGAGCCATTCCTTGATACTGGAGCACCTTCCCTTCTCCGAAGTTTATCAAATCCTGGTTCAGTCTAAGCACCCTACATCCCTCGTCTAGGACAGCTCCTCTTCAGACCAGCTTTACTTGGCTCTCTCTTCTCTGAGCACCTACCTCCACTTCATCACCACCCAACTTAGCACAGCAGCTCTGTCTTTCTCATATAATTTCTTCTTTTCCTGCTTTCTTCTTTTCCTTGTTTTCAGCAAGGTTATGAGTTCAAGAATAGGGCCATGTCACACCTCTTTATCCCCCATCATGATTTATTATTAGTTAGTTAGATGGATAAAGAGAGCCCCACAAACATGAAGAACATGAAAAAATAATAATTCTAATTCTATTTTGGAAAATGATGACTCTCCCACGTGAAGTCACCCATGTGGATGTTCAGAGACATAGAAGCCTCTTTCTCCCACTTACTCAGCTACCACTTTCTCTGATTCTGATGCCCTCTGCTTCTGCCTGTCCTGGGTTACCTGGGAGGACTTGAAGGGAGGTAAAAATGGCCCAGAACCCCAGGCTGGTGTGGGCTGACAACAACAAGGCCCTCCAAGAGCACCACCAGGGCTATGCTATTAAAGTCTTAGAACTTCCCTCCAGTAGCTGAGGGAGAGAGACAGGGGAGTGGGCCTGAGAAAGAGAATGAAAATGAAAGAAAAAGTAGTAAGCAATATTTTGTGAAGGAAAATAATAGAGTATTCTTAGCTATTTCCTTGTAATTTTTTTCTTATACTTTTTTTAAAAAAAGATTTATCTATCATCTATCTATCTATCTATCTATCTATCATCTATCTATCTGAAAGAGATAGCGGCAGTGGGGCAGATGGAGAGGGAGAGAAGCAGACTCCCCGCTGAGTGTGGAGCCCACTGTGTGTGGGTGTGGGGGGGCTTGTACTTTAGAAGGTGGATGGATCAATAGAATGAGTCTTTGGATCCCAGATGACATAAGACATGCTTTGTTATGTCTCTTTGTATTACCAGCCAGCAGCCCATTCGATTTATGTGGGAGGTTAAGGGATTGAAGCCAATGCATCTCTTATCAGAAATATTTGAATACTGAGTTTAACTGTAAAGTTATGTACTAGTTGTTTGTTTTTTTAATAACTACAAAACTCCCTTTTGGAAGAACTGGTCTTATTTAAATCAAAACAAAAAGTTAGAAAGCTGTTTAGGGTCCTCTAGGAGCTCATGGTTAAATGAACTTGTAGATCAAAATATTTGAATGGATCTACTATAACCCCTGCTTTCTCCTAAGAACAAAATCATTTATTTAGGAGCCATTATAGTCGCGTGAGGCTGTTAGGAGCCTGAGTAGAAAGAGTTCATTACCCTTCTCCCCTGCCCAAAAACACAAATGTTTTTGTTTACAAATTGGCTTTTCCAGACTCTCTGGTAACCACTCCCAAGTGAAATCTCTTGAGTTCATCAGCACATCATTGACTTAACCCTACTGAAGGAAGCCATGTCTACCTTCATTTAAGCAGTTAGGATTGAAACTGCAGCAAATCTTACAGTACTCATTTGGCTCATGATGATGAAAATAATAATAGGTAATAGGAAGTAGCTTACTGTATAAAGAGTGTCTGGTATGTTCCAGACATTGTGTGAGGAATCTTGTACAAAGTACATCATGTAGACAACATAGCACAATTATTATGGGAACTTCCCCCAAATATTTGTGAAATCTAGAGCAACAGCATAAATAGAGCCTTCTCTATCTCTCCCCTCTTCTCTTTTCACTCCCTCACATGTCCACACTCTATCCACATGCTCTTTGCCCCCCTTCCCTTCCACAAATAGCTGCTTTTGACTACCAGTGTTTTTGGGAGGATAGACCTGGTAAAGACTCTCTTTTAGGTCTTGGAATCAAGGGTCTAGATAGAGGGAATTCTGGAGTTTTAGGTAAAAGGAGTGTGGTCTAGAAGTGTGGGCTTGTCCCCAGGGTTCCACAGATTCTTGTCCTGTGGGGAAGATTGCAGCTAGAGGAGGCTAGAGTAAGACCCTCTGAAGCACCCAGTTCAGGCCAAGATCCCTGGCAGATCAAGTCTAATTATAGTACTGATCACTGTAGAGAAACAAATCCAAAAAGGTAGACATAGCTAGTAAGTGAAGGAACTGGGATTTGAACTCAGGTGTGTCAGCCTCCAATGCCTAAACTAATTGCTTCTACATATAACAATGGCT